TTCTTCAAACTTTAATTCACTAGTTAATATATCTCAAAATAAACTATTAACCGTTTTTTTATTATCTTATTTGTGACAAGATTCTAAAATTGTACAAATTTATGCATGTATGGGACATATAATTTTTTATTTCTACCTTCTCTTTATTGATTGCTTTGTATTTTTTATTGTATTTGCAGTTTTTTTTTCAACTAATTTATTGAAAATAGTTTAATTTTATCATCTATTTTAACCTAGTGAAAGAGATGTAAGTTTGTTTATATTGAATATTTTCTTTCATATCCATTATCAATAATTTTTAACATATAAATAAGGTTTTTCTTTTCAATCATTCATGTCATGTCATTGATAATACTTGTAACTCCATTTTAATTCAAATTAGTTGAATAAAGATTCTTTAATTTAACTGAATAATTATTTTATTTTGTAAATAATTTGTAATGTTTGATTATTTTGTTAGTATTAAATTACAAACTTTTATTTTTTTATCATATAAACTTTTTTTTTTTGACAAATCTCTAGAAAAGAACAATTAACTAGAGGGATATTTATTTCTTACAAGATCTTCCTCTAAAATATTTGTATTTATCATATTTTATGTATATAAAAATTGCTTTTATTATGGATTTGAAGACTTTAGAACAGGTAAAACATCAAATATCATATTTTGTTTTCTAATACCACTTATTCTCTATTATTTCTTTTTGTTTACCTAGAAATATTGAGAATTATATTAAATTGCTAAATTTTATAATTTTATATAAATTTAATTTGTATATTATTTTTCAGTTTTATTTTGGGTATGAATTATTATTTTTATTTAGTAATAATTATAAAATCATAATATATTATAAAAATAGTGATTGAAATTATACAAGAATTTAATCTATTCAGATCATTCATTTAGATAAATAAAATGTTAAAAGTAATAGATATTTCAAAAAATAAAATTTTGACTTAATTTAAATTTAATCCAAATAATTCATCTAATTAACCTGTAACTCATATCTAATTAATCTGACAAATAAAATGGTTAGATATGATTCTAAAAATTAAATTTTGATTTAATCTAAATTTATAAAATTTAACCCCAAACCGAATCATGCTGAGGGCTAATGGTTATGACAGGACTCAACACACCATCCATTTATTTGAAGAACGCACTAACTGGTGCAAGCAACTTCAATGTTCAACCTAATGTTCTGTTTGGATTACAGCTCAGAGGAAAAAGAAAAAAAATTAAAAGGAAAGGTAGAAAATAATATGAATATTTTTTTTATATAATTGATTCAAAAGAATTAAATAGTATATTAATTTAATAAATTATTAAAATTTAACAAAAATAAATATAAATTAAAAAAAAGGTTAAATATGGAATATTTTTTAAAATAATATTAAATAATTATTTAATAATAAAATTAAATTTAAATAATTATTTATAAATCGAATGTTATAGATAAAATGTGTTTTTATACCATACACAATTTTTGTGTTTAATATAATTAAAAAAAAAATTCGGTCTTATATATTATAAATTACATAAATAACTCCATCAATTTTTTGTTATTATTGTTAAAAAGACTGTTAGCTTGATATCATATATATAAATGATGTAGGTAAGAAATAAAAAATTATTTATTATTTTAATTTTAAAAAATTGAGATATGATATTCTAACGATATTTAAAATTAAATCAATAAAAAAATAAAATAAAAAATTGAAAATAGATCAAAATTATTATAAAAAATGATACATAATGTGAATAATCTAATTATTTTCTTATTTAATCTATGTAGTGTTATTATTTAAATTAAATATAAAAAAAATAAAAATAAAAATATAATTATAATATAATAATATAATTTTATAACATATTTTTTATTTAATAATTATTTTTAAAAATATATTTAACAATTTGATAACATTTCAAAAAACATTCGAACCAAACTGTTGTTTTAGTTTGATTTATTTTATTTTTAATTAAAACCGAATTAAATTTAAATTTTATTTAAATTTTATATTTGAGTTAAATCAAACCAAAATTTTATTATTTTTTATATATAATAACTGTTTTTTTTAATTTAATATTTTATTTATAATAAATATCATTTTTTTCTAACACTTTTTTACTTACACTTTTTCTATTTCTTTCTTTTATCTTTAAATTTTTATTTTTTTCTCTCACATTTTCATTTTTCCACTTCAACTTCTTTTTTTTATCGTACACTCATCTTATCTTTTCACATTTATATTTTTTCTTTATCATTCATTCACTTTAACATTTGTCTCTTCCACGATTTCATCTTACAACATAAAATTTTTAAACTTTTTTCTTTATTTTTCTTTTCTCCTATTCACATTGAAGGCATGGGACAATAAGTTAATAATAATAATAAATAAAATACCTCACAATAATTATTTTTAAGTAAAAAAAATCAGGAAGTAAAATTATTATTTTTTATTATTTTTATTTATTATTATAACAGTAGTGTAGTATAAAAATATGAAATACTGATATAAATTCTTTACTTGTTATAAATTAGTTAGTTATTTTAATATCTTATAATATTCTATTTTGATGTTAAAATATGAAAAAAAAGATTGGGATTTAAAGATGTTTGAAAAGAAAATTATAAACTATTTTTAAAGAAAAAAGAGATGATAGATGATGAAATAAAATTAAATTAATAATGTTAAATATACTCATGAATATTTTATATAGAAGAGATAGAGTTGAGGGATGGAAGAATAAAACACTAGTATATAAAAGACTTTTTCCATTTGTTATTTTAAATTTTATTTTATTTTTTTAACGTTTGATTAATCTTAGACATCATTGTAAGAAACATAAATTTACTTTTGAGTAACTAATCGATCACTAGTACAAAATAGGCTTTTAACATCGGTTCCTAGGGGCTTTTAACATCGGTTCTAGAACCGATGTAGAAAGTCTAATATTTTTATTTATTTATATATTTTTATTTATTTTATTCATAAAACCCTCATCTAATTACCCTATCTATCTCCTCTACCATTCTCTCCCTTTTAATTATATTTTTTAGGAATTTGAATTATTATCAGATTAAGAGAATTGTCACTGGCAAGATTCGAACCCAGTACCTTAGAGTCGAAGGCTGATACTCCAACCACTAAGCTACCAGGATTTTCTCATAATAACTTATACATAAAATTATATTTATATACAAATAAAAATGTATATCCATGTAAATATATAAATATAAAATATATAAATACAAATACAAATATATTTATATGTTGGATGTGAGGACACGCTCGAGTATGAAAGTGTGTGTCGAGTGAATTTTCAAAATTTGATGTCAAATTTGTGAGCTGGTCTCTTTATATGGATTATAACTTAATGACAAAATATAATCTTTATAATTTATTTATATAATGATATAAAATAATTTTTTTCTTTATTTTATATCATTATATAAATTAATTATAAAGATTATATTCTATATTATTATAAATAAATTATAAAGATTATATTCTATCATTAAATTACAAATTCATATAAAGATACTTGCTCACAAATTTGACATCAAATTTTGAAAACCCACTTGACACACACTTTCACTCTCCAGATACGCTCTCACATCCAACATATAAATATATAAATATATTTGTATTTGTATTTATATATTTTATATTTATATATTTACATGATATACATTTTTATTTGTATATAAATATAATTTATGTATAAGTTATTATTAAAAAATCTTGGTAGCTTAGTGGTTGGAGTATCAATCTCTGACTTCTAAGATGCTGAGTTTGAATCTTGCTAGTGACAATTCTCTTAATTTTATAAAAGACTTTCTACATCGGTTCATCCAGGAACCGATGTTGAAAGTCTTGAATTCACTTTCTACATCGGTTCTTAAAGAACCGATGTAGAAAAACCGATGTTAAAAGTAATTTCTGTACTAGTGGATGTAAACATTCAATTTAAAAGAAAGACATTCATACATTATTTTGGTTGAAATCTCCAAACACCCATAACTTTAATTTTAATAATAAAAAAAGTACATAAATCCCTAACATCAATCATATACCATAAAAGTCTAAATGTTTGAATCAAATTGCGGATAAATGTTCAAATATTTTAATCAAATTGAGGAGAAACGTTCAGATTTATAAATAGGTCAAAATGATAGTGTTGTTTTAGTTCATTATAGTAAAAATATACCAAAAAAGTCACTATTGTCATTGTTTTCGTTCATTATAGTAAAAATATACCAAGAAAGTTACCATTGTCGTTGTTATTGTAAAAAAAAGAAAGAAAAAAAAAAAACTCTCGCATTCGTGAAAAGGACGAAACCCATAATAATTATAAAACAAATTTTACATCAAATCGTATAAAACTTGACCTAAAAAAATTATTTTAATTTCGAAAGTTTTAGCGCATTTTTTTTTTCCATCGAAATAACTACTAATTCGACACGAAAAAAATTGACTTACAATATATATTTTAGAGTACTAATGATCGAAAATCTTAGACAATGCTTAGCAATGGTACTTGAATTTGAGATGGTATAGAGGAGCAATATAGAGTTTAACTGGGAAAAATAGAAATATATCGTTTTATATAATAAAATATATAACATAGAATATTATCTAAAATATATATAATCGAATAATATTAAATAAAACACAATTGATTTTGCATAAAAACATACTTACAAAAGTAGGTTTTACTTGCTTATCTCGTATTGCACATATTTAACAAAAGTAAATAAGACTATTCTTAAAGATTCTTCTATATTTTTTTTATCATAAAATGCCTTACTCAATTCATAAATAAGAGTTGACTTCAAACAGGCATACAAGATAGCAACCATAAACAGAAAAAACAAAATTTTAGATGACGATAATGAAATGACTAACTGATAAGAAAAATGCTAATCTACGCTGCCCTAAAGAATATGTTTTATTTAACAGCTCGATAAACCTAAAAGAAACAATGATGATCTTCTTCAACTTGATTTTTGTTTCCAGATTCCACTCTTCAGAAACTGAACAAATTCAGCTATGTAATGACCTTGGTGGAGTTCCATGTTTCCTACAATTGCAGCAGCTTCTTCTACATTACTTCTTATTTTCTTTCCTTCCTCTGATACCATAGCTTGTCTAAGAGATCTGGCGATGTCTTTTCCAGTGAATGACCCATCTTCATTTTTATTCACTTCTATGGCTAGACCCTTTTCCACCATAAACCTTGCATTAATAGGTTGATCCACCTGTAAGGGTAATAAAATTTGGACATGACCAAACTGCAAGGCTTCAATGACAGAACTCCAACCACTGTGAAACGAAGACGCTCCAATAGATGGATGAGCCAATATTTTTTGTTGTGGGACCCATGTCTTACAAACAACTCCTCTATTACTTGTCCTCTCAATAAAATCAGCAGGTAGAAAATCTTCATCATCGCTTGCCCAACTTGGTTTTCTCAGTGCCCATAAAAATGGTAATTCGGACTCCTGAAGTCCATAAGCTATCTCCAAAACTTGGTCCTTTCTAAGTCTGGCCTCACTGCCAAAACCTACAAATAAAACTGATTTGGATGCTTGCTTATCAAGCCACTCAAATATCTTATCCTTACATCCATCAACAATTCCTCTCTCTACAGGCAACATACCTATGGGAATCACAGGCTTCTCAGATTGTTTTTGGTATGCACGCAGATATTCTCCATCAATCTCGTAGCAGCCACGACATATTATTGCTTGAGAAGCAGAAATTAACGTCGTGATCCTTTCAAAGTCACGCACCTCAGAAGCTGACGATGGATAATTCTCCCAATCTGATGGTTTTTTTCTTATGCTTTCCGGAGATATAGGAGTTTTCCGCTTACTTCCTGCTCCGAATGATGTTAGTGCAAGAGAAGGGAAAACACTAAAGAAGATATACTGTACTTGAAACTCTTGCGAAATGTCTACAATCCAGTGAGTACTAAAGTCACAAATGATCCAATCGGGTAACTGATCGGCCACAAATTGCTTCACACCATGTTGGAGATGGTCATATGCCAACATTAAGTATTGATTTTTTTCAGGCGGAATATCCACGGTGGCTTCAGCATTTTCTGGCAAGAGATCTTCGTCCAATTTTAGCAAAGGAAGTGACACAAAATCAACCAAATCAGTTAAAGCTGGAGGAACTTTGGGAAGTCTTTCAATGTTTCTGGGAGTTGATACGTAGGAGACACGAACACCAGCTTTGGCTAAGGCTATGGAAAGTTTGAAAAACGGTATCAAGTGGCCAAAGGCAGACCATGGAACCATCACTACGTGAATTGCTTTCTCGGCCATGTTTTCTAGATCTACTTGCTGCAAATATTCTACCAAAACACCTCGGAGTGAGATAAAAATAAAAGAAAAATTGTAAACTATGAAAAACAATGGTTAAAAACTCACATGTTAGTAGACATCAAAGCAGATATAAAGAGATAGAAAACAATTACAGATGTATGAAATTGTTAGATGCTCAAGGATTATAATTCTAAAGAGATAAATAACAGCTATGTGGTAAACTTGTAAAAGAGAGAGTGAAGAGAAGAGAGGAAGAAGAGAGATGAATTGGGGAAGGGAACTCACAACAAGGGCAGTTAATCGACTTAGAAATCAGGGAAAGGCAAAGAGGTTGTTTGTCTTTTATCAAATTCTGTAAAAGAAATTCTCCTTTCCCATGATTTCCATACCCATCCAAGTCTTCCGCCACTTTATATTTATAATAAGATATGAGGAAGACCTATCAGATTACTTAGCTATTTTTATTTATCTACCAAGTTATGTTTATCTGTTGAACATTTAACAGAAAGTAAAAAGGATATTTAGACAATTTTTTGGGTTTTTTCATTTTTATTTATTTAATGTATCATATTAATCAGTTGGACATTTCATAGAAAATGAATTTTAATTCGCATTTATTATTTTTTACAATTTTTTTTTCAGCCTGCATTAAGGGTTCTTTAGATAATTTTTGCAGTTATTTTATTCAATAAATCATATTAATTAATCGGACATTTAGTAAAAAAAATGGATTTAAAATACAAAATTATTATTAATCATTTTTATTATATAAAATATAGATGAATTTCACTTTTCGCCCACAATAAGCGTTCTGTAAAAAACTTTTTTTTAGTTGTTTCTATTTTACATTAATTTATTATGAAGGACATTTAATAAATTATATCATAAAATGAATTAATTTAATTATTAAATACAAAAATATTTAATTTATTTTCTAAAATATGAATAACATAATATCCCTACATGTGTGTCCACTGGTAAAAAAATATTCGTATTGAAATATATCCATCCCAACTTTCTGTAAATACATGTGGATGCATAAATTTTGTACATTTCTACTTTTCCATCATGGACCACGTAATATACGAATACTTTCACGTGAATTTCATTTTCTTTTATAACTTTTTCAACAGAAGAAAAAAAAATTAAATAACAAAACTTACAATTTTTATATTGTAGAGATGAATTTAGAAAAAAATAAAATTAAATAAAAAATGTATAATTTTTATATTGTAATAGAAAATTATAAAAGAAAAAAATATGATAGTGAATAAATAATAAAAATAAAAAATAAAATAAGGATTTGATAGAAAAAATAAAAAAATGTGAAAAAAAGAAAAAACTTAAAAATAAAAAAATAAAAAAATATAGATAAAAATTATCTAAAATAATAAATATGATATTTATTATAAATAAAAATTAAGAAAATAATAAAATAATTTTTATTCAATTCTGAAAAATAATTTTATACTTATATTAATGATTTGGTGTAGGTACGTATATAATGATTTGGGGCATGTAAATGATTCGGGGTTGGTGGGTAGGTGTCGTCATAATATGGCAGAAGCGGGTTATTATTTTAAGATTGTTAATCCATTTTGGTTTGTTATGTCAAATCTGTCAATCCGACGAACTAATTTATTAGGCGGGACGGGCCAGCTCGTAACCCGCTTTTCTAATATTTTTTTATTATGATCAATACAAAAAAGTCAGAAAGACAATTTATAATATAAAAAAATTATGAAAAGAGAATTTTAAAAATTTTAGTGTCTTATAAAGAGAATTAATAAAGTCTCAATATCTTACTACTAAGAGAATTTTAAAAAAGTTTTATAATTACTTAAACTCATATTACATAAACTATTTTCTTTTCTCAAGTATAAATCTCTCTTCTTACTCACCATCTCCTTCTTGTTTATTCTTCTTAATAAAATAAAAATTATATATATCATACTTTTTAATATAAAAAATAAATTTTTACTATTACATGTATATATTTATTATTATATAAATTTTATTTTAATTTAATTATTCTAAAATATAATTTATTAAAATAATATATTAATTTATATTATTAACTTATATATATATATATATATTAAATAATTGATAATAATAATTTTATTATTAAATTTATTAAAAGATTTGATTTAAAAAAATTAAAAAGAAAATATAGTGGATTAGTACACCATCCTACCAGGATATGATGGACCAAAACCTGTAATCCCTCCTAATTATAGCTAACTAGCTCATCCCGCCCCAGTTTTAACGAAAACAGACCCAAAAAGTGCGGGCCAAAACGGGATCCCTATATACATAAAATGACTTGGGGTAGCATTGTCGTGTTCCCTGCAGGGAGCGTCCGTAGCTTGGTCCCAGACGGCAGACATCCCGACACACCATTTATTCATTTGTAGCCGTTCGTTGAAAGCAACGTCAATCTTCTTCAGCCTATTCTTAAACCTTTTTCAAGTACCCACAAGCCAAACAAACGTTAAAATTACTAAATATTACTCATTTTATTATTATTATTATTTTCTTTAGATGATTCACATCATATTTTAATAATTCTTTTTTTAATAATTTATCTATTTTACTTCATTTTTTGTTTATTAATTAATTAAAAAAAATAATATTTTTAATTTTTATATTTTTATTTATCTATTTGTTGAATGTGTTCTTTTTTTTTTTATCTATGGAATCTTCTTTTTGTTTAAAATTATTTATAAGATATTTTAAAAAAAATAAGTGTTAAAATGTCTTTTCCCTTCTTGTCTTATCGCATTTATTTTACTGTAAATACATGTGGATGCAGAAATTTTGTACATTTCTCCTATTCCAACATGGACCACACCACAGTGCGAATACTTTCACGTGTGTAGTATGCTCTTTTTTTTTTTTTTTTTTTTATCCATCGCATTTTTATTTTACTGCAAATATGTGTGGATGCATAAATTTTGTATATTTCTGCTTTTGGATCGTGGGTCACATAACACAGTACGAATACTTTGACGTTTATTTAGTTTTATTTTTTAATATATAAAAAATTAAAGATTAATTTTAAAAAATAAGTTAAAAAAATTATTAAATAATTTTTTCATTATATAAAATAATTTAAAACATTTTGTTATACATTTAGAGATTACAAGAATTTCTCTCTCTCTCTCCATGCTCGACCATTTTAGAGAAGTTGAGATTTGAAAATTGTTGGTTGGGACTGCTGGAGAAGTTGATGAAGACTTGGTCGAGATTGAGAGGAGTTGATGAACGTTGTTAGGATTGTAGGAAAAATTGTTAATGATGTGGAGAAGTTGAGCAATGTGAAAGTTACTCTTATACAAAAATAGATTTTCTTATTCATAACACACTTATAAATAGATTATCTCACACTCCCTCAAAACATAATCATTCATTCATTTTCTCTTCTCAATTTTTTTTTTCTTTTCTTATCTTAAGTTTATTTATTTATTTTAATTTTTTTGCTAATTTTTAAATTCCTCAAAAAATTCAAATTTTGTTATCATTTACAACACTTTTTACTAGAATAACAACGATATTTATATATTTTTTCTTCTTAAGTAGTATTAAAAAGGATATAACAACTATCACATACTTAACCATTGAATGTTTGTTTTAATTAATTTTGAAAAGAGATACAATAACGATTATCATCTAAACCATCATTGTATATATATATTTTTTTAAGATATACTTTCTGTTTTGGGTTTATTCTCATCAGAATATATAGAAAAAGAATAGGACAAAATCTTAAATAATAATACTATTTCAATAAGAATTACTTAAATTAAAATGATAATTTAATATCTTTTTTCTTATTTAAAAAATAATAAAAATCCTTAAAATCCAATTTAAATAAAAAATATTAAAATATTTCTAACCTTCTTTCTTGATTTAATATATATTTATTTGAATTTGATGCTCTTCTTTTTTATTTTTGTTTTCTTCATCTTTTTTTCTTATAATTTTTCTCATTCTCTTTATCTAAGGAGATAATCTTCATTTAATTTCATTGTTGCATTGTGATGTTTTTTCTTTACAATCACTTGTAAACAAACTTTTTTTTTTCTTGATACTTTTTTGTGTAAGACTTCTTTTTTATTGGGTTTTTCAAGAGAAAATTAAATAGAAAGAAACGGATGAAAATCATGAGAAAGATCGTAAAAGATTTGATAAAGTAAAAAAGAAGAATGATTTGTTGTTATAGTCCATAGCGTGTCTACATTAAGTATAAATAAGTATAAACACTTATCATTTCCTTAAGCATGAACTTTTTCCTTAAAAAGTTAAAGTTAAAGTGCCTCAAGAAATTTTAATATGTTAAAATGTTATTCAGTAAGTTTGTTAACTAATACCTTTTCTGAATTAATCAGTTAAGAAAGATTTTAATCTATTAAAATGTTCTTGACTTAGTTTTAGAAAACTTTGGTTCGCTTTAATTGATACATGATCGGTGTTATTAGTTAAAATTTTTGTGGAAAATGTGCAAAATTATTTTAATCAATTAATTCACTTTTGTTATCGGTTAAAATGTCTCTGAAAAATATTCAAAGTTCTTTTAATCGATGCGCTAAAATGTGACTTTAGCTATTTTAATCGATTACTATTGGTAAAATTTGGGTCATGTATATATATGATACATAATTTAAATGTGTTAGGGTCATTATTTATTAAGCCAAATAATAATGTGATCTGACTAAATTAAAAAGTTTGACTAAAGACATATGTCATGAAAATAAAATTATGTAGAGACCATAGAGCAATTTCTAATTTGATGAGGGGCCAAATTGAAAATACTAAAACTTAAGTAATTAACCTATTCTGGTTATTTTAAGGGGTCATGGTCCCCTTCTGGGAGCACGTAGACAGAACCTAAGTTTCATTATCGTTCCTTTCTTTCTATCCCCAACATGAGATAAAATCAAGAGGCAAATACAAGTGCTCTTCTTCAAGTGGAAGACCATAAGATCAATATAGTGCTC